GCCTTCGGCCAGAGTCTCATCAAGCTTCAAGTGTCTTGCATCGCGCACTTTAATTGTAATTTCGGAGTGGCTGTCATTGGAATCAAAGGTCCAGGTCTCTTCGAAATCTGCGCTGGAGCCAGCGTCCTTGGCAGTCTTGGTATGCCATGAGTGGAAGGTACCGTAGTGGCATTCAACGTACAAGTCCGACTTGTTGAACAGACCAGTGTGGCCCTGGAAACCAGCAGCAGAATGTACCGTAACAGAAACCTTCATTTTGAATTAAACTTTATGACGTGAAAGGACGATTTGGCAAGGACCAACTAGACAGAACGATGCGGCCACACACAATTCGCGGTCTCTGAGCTTTCAGCAGGTTATTTTCGGGCATCTCGCTCAGATCCATAATAAGAGTAGGATATAAGCAGAAGACCCATCACAAAGGGCGGCCACCGTACAGCGATCTTACCTTCCAGAACATGACACCCCCTCTGGACTGAAACTTGTCAAGGCTACTGCGCCCTGTACGGCCAAGGCGGTGAGTTGAACCTGTGGTGTGGCGCTGCTGTATCGGGATCCAGTGATCTAGTCGGGTGCACCAGCAGCCAGCAGCCTTTCTGCTTTGTAGGAGATATACTTTATTTATGTTCGTCTGCTTTGAGAACCAAGGCTTTAATTTATTTTTTTGACTGTTTGCTAGACGTCGTAGCGAATACACAAGACCCACGCCCCGCAGCAAGATCCAGTTTCACACCACACACTAATTATCAATACTCGGTTCCATACTAAGAAATTCAATGTGTTATCGCACCACAGCTCCGCTTGCACCGAATTAATTTACTCACACTTCACAGTCAACCTGACAGATGGCTCATCGCCGTGTTTCTCGTCAACAAGCCCCACTTCGCCAGTGTAGAAGTAACCAGGCCTCTGCTCAAACTTGAACGCGCCTTCCGCCAGAGTCTCATCAAGCTTCAGATGTCTGGCATCGTGCACTTTGATTGTGATATCGGAGTGGCTGTCATTTGAATCAAAGGTCCAGGTCTCTTCGAAATCTGCGCTGGAGCCAGCGTCCTTGGCACATAGTGACATTGAACGTGCAATTCCGACTTGTTGAACAGACCAGTGTGGCCCTGGAAGCCAGTGTGGCCGTCTGTGTGTGTCCGGCGTGTGTCCCACAAGCCTTAGCCGACGGTGCCTGTGGGCTTCCACTGCGCTCCGTGACCCAGACCAAGAGCAGGACCACGTATGAGGTTCGGTGGTGACGTAACCACGGGGGAAAGACTTGCCACCCACCGTGGCCAGATCACCTAGACAGAGGAACCGCTGGGACAATTAGCGGAGAGGAGACCCCCAGGTAGCGCTGTCAGAAGCACCCACACTCCCACCGACGTCGCGAAGCTACTGCAGAGGCTGGAGAAGCACGGACACGTGGTCGTATTTTGATGACCAACGCAGCAGCTGTGCTCAGAGATCGTTTCTGCTGTGGTTTTCGTGGAGAGACCGCCAGTTGCAGCCGCCCTCTAAAAAACCTTTGCAGCATGTCGTCGTGACGCGGGTGCGCAGTGGAGGAACGACCAGACAGTGGAACTAAGAATCCACTGGCTCGCCAGCAGATGTTCGCTGGTCATAGGACGGTGGCCAGTGGAGAGTGAATGGTCAACAAGTCACCATAGGACGGCGGTCAACAAGTCATCGGCGGTACCGGAAAAAGCATAAGACGATGGAGGCTAGTCAGCGTCGAGCACACAACAGCTTAATGGTTGTTTTTGATGGTCATGGTTGCTTCGAGCTTTTTCCCCATGCAGCGAGGAGGAGAAGCACGGACACCTGGTTTTACTTCCCATGCAATGCCCACGAGTACACAATGCCATAGTTCCCGACCCGTGAGACGCAGCCAGAGCCGTAACCAGGTCAGACGTTATTTTTGCACGAACATAAAAAAACGAACCGCAAAACTTTACGTCCTCATCACTGTCCGCCACCGCTAATTTGAGGTTGTCGGTAATCTGACCACACATCGTCGCCGTAAGTTATCTTCCCAGGTCGACTCAGGCGGTCACATTTGACCAACAGTTATGTTTTCGTGCCTGGCGGTCTCCAATATTGATCCTGTATTCTTCTGCAACCCTGTTCCCGTAACCTTCGAGCGTTTCCGGATCGGGATTAAAGCACTCAAATTTACAAAACTTTGGGGAGTAGCCTGGTGTTTGAAATAAAGAGTAATTCCCTTTCATTTCCTCAGCAGTGGTAAAGAAGTCAGTAACATAGCCCCAGACCACGTCCTTCCCGGACGGGTCCACCGCCTCGGCGCTGAATCGACCTTCGACGCATCCACAGTCGGGTAGTTGACAATCGTTGTAAGTGCCGGAACAAGCTGCGGTCCCATAATACCAGTCAAGTGTCAATCCTAGGGCGTTTAGGCTTTCGTCGGAGATGCCGCCAATGTCGGCAGTTATGTACTTGGCGGCAGCCCGTCCACGGGCCAGGTTACGGATGTACCGCACGTCTAGGTCTGCGTTGTTTGTGAGGAGGCAACGGGCGGGTTTCAGGTGACGGATGACCGCCTCCCAGACCCTCGGGAAGTCGTGCTTGAACGGATGATTGAAGTAATGACAACTCAGGTCCTCGCCGCGGTCATCGACGCAAACCACCTTGCCACCCAAGTCACAGCCGGACCAATCCAACGTCTTCCAGGCATCCGCAGTGGCGTCCACCATTGAAGCGTTCTTGTTGTTATCGTATATGCCCTTGCAAGTGTCAGAGGGTATTCTCAGCAACGCCAACTCGTGTGCAGACATCGCTATGTTGCCAGCCCTGGACTCGATCGCCACGGGTTTGCAGTTCACGACCAAGTCCGACTCGGACCAAGCCTCACAATCGCAAGACACCGCATACTTGTACCGTTCGACATCTGACAAGCGAGAGAATTGCGCATCGTACCACGATGTGTAGTTGTGCGTCGTGGCCTCAGTAATCGGAGTATATGTCGTCATCGGGGCCTCGCTTCGAGTCTCGCTGTAAATCAGTCCCCTCGACGTAGTAAAGCTGGGCATTGGCCCCTCAGACGGAGTAGAGCTGGGCATTTGGCCCTGAGACGGAGTAGAGCTGGGCATTTGACCCTCAGAAGGAGTAGAGCTGGGCATTTGGCCATCAGAAGGAGTAGAGCTGGGCATTTGGCCCTCAGACGGAGTAGAGCTGGGCATTGGCCTTTCAGACGGAGTGTAGGTAGAGACCGAAAGAGGATCGAGAATACTCGGCAGTTCTGGGGGTGTCAAACTGTCGGCTCGTGCTCTATAGAGGTGGAACACCGCTCCTGCTATCACCGCACCACTCAAACCCACAGCGCAGGCAATACCAAGACCTTTGAGAAACCTTGGCCGTCGCCAGAAGCTTCCAGTTTCTTCACGAATAGCCTGGCCCTCGACCTCAATACAATAGGTGGCGGGTCCGGAATCCTGAATTACGGCACTCCACTTCGGATATTGCGCCGACAGCCGTTTTTGTTCGTCGTCATCTAGCGGCCTCATATCTATGATCTCCAACTTTGGTCTTTCATCGACGATCTTCGTGTCTTCGATACTGCTTGTGTCCAGCCACTTCGTAAGCTCTCTGCCAAACGCGTTCTCCAGAGCCGCACTTGCAGCGGACGGATCCGCGTCCTTGAGATACTCCTTCAGGGTCCGAGCAAGCAAGCGCTCGATGCGCGCGGAAGCCTTCCCTTGCCTCTTGGACCCTTCCGGGTGGCAGACTTGAAGGCGATTCCAACGACGGAGCCAGTCATAGTCCGAAAG